CTGATTCTTCCAATCAAAAGAATATCAAAAGCGGCAAATTTGGACGGAAGAATGCAAAAGAGCAAAAGCAAAAGCAGTGGCCTTGCTTTGTTCTGCTGTTTGAAGATGTTTTGAGTCTTGCTTCTTCCAGGCCTTTGTGCAAGACCATCAAGTTTCAGGCTTGTTCAGGTTGATTGTCGGCCCTTCTCTTGGAGCACATCCTTCATTTTCGGAAAAGCTCAGGACGTAGGACTCGTAGGACGTATAACTCGATCATACCTCGAATTGGACGTCCAAGTTGTTCTGTCCTTTCGGTCAAAACATCGCTGCGACGCGGGGAGACCGGGCGCCTTGTGTGACATGATTTGATCACATGTGACACAGCCACACATTGAACATCATTGAACCATGGTCGCAGCAAATCGAGTCAACAGCCTTACAATACAGGATAGAACATATGAGTTTTTTCGTTTGAACCTTGATGGGTGAAGTTTACGGTTTGGTGGACATTTCTAGGCTGACCTTCCAGTGGCTCTCCTAACACGTCCGGTCCAAAATTGGACATGAAAAAGCCGGTGGCAGACGGATCCCTCCTTGAAGATGCTGAGCTTGGAGTTGAGAGCCATGCAGCTTGGTGTTTCAGCTTGGTTAGGTTAGGTGTGGAATAGGGAGACCCCAATGGGTTGAGAGCGGCTTTGCTTCTTGTTTAGGCCAATTGTAGGCCTGCTGCTTTTCTTTGCCAGTATGACCTCCAACCAATGGGTTTTGGTCTATTGTCCTCTTCGAGGGCGTGTTTGGAGGGAATCCCTAGTCAAAAAAAATACTTAGATGGGTCCACCATTTCGGATGATAAATCCTCTTCATCTCTTCATAATATGGGGGGCTTCTGCATCAACAGTCTACATTAAAGCTCACACTTTGTGCAATGATGCTTCTTAAGATATCAGGCTGAGCAGACTGCTGAGCAGTTTTAGAGGGTTCAACCCTGAACAATGCTGCTTTTGGTGACTAGATGTTCCTCCTTACCTAAGGCTTTGCAACTTGGAACGGTTCTTGGCCATGGACAATGTCAAAAGCTCAGCTGCCCAAGGTTTCGTTCCCTCTGTCGTGACTGTCGTGGAATGTTCCACATCTCGGCACGGTTGAGGACCTGGACTTGATTTTTGAGCAACAAGACAGTGTGGAAGATATCGAGGACCCAACCCACAAACCCATCCATTGAAAAAGCGGTGACCAATTTTTTTTTCGGATCGTTGATCGTTCATGGGTGTTTCTTTTGGTGCCTGTTTTGGCGCCAAAAGAGGTGTGCGAAGTGCGAACACATTTGAGTCCCAGCGTGTGCAGAATGGACAAAGCAAGATTTGATGAGCTGAAGGAAAAGACAGAAACATCACTGTAAACCGAAGCTTTGATCTCAACTTCAACCATAATATATATATATATATATTAACTCATATTCTATCAACCAGAATAGGAGCACATTGAACAAAAACACTCCGAAGGCTTTTTTTGTGGCCACCCCCAATGGCCTCTCACTGGAGATGCAGGAGAAGATTCTGGAAAGTCTTGGCCTTGTGGCTTAGGCGGCCGTGTGACACGGCGAAGGAGGCTTCGTTTGGATCCAGTTGGGGCGGACCTTTGTCGGCCCGGTCAGTTGGTCTAGCTCGGGTTGGCGGCCGAGATGGTAAAGAGTTTGGTAAACATGAAAAAGGGCTCTGATGGTACCGTCGTACGTATGCTCGTTCAGTGGGAGGCATTGGAAATCCATTTTTCTACCCACTAAGAAGTCACACGCAATTGCATTACTCGTGGCAAGTGAATTTTCTCACTCAGGGCAACGAACCAATACAGGTCCCCAGGTTTGGGAGTTTTCAGTATTCTTTTTCCAGAGCGAACTTGCCCACAACCACCAGGTGCTGGGCCTCACGGACTTGGGTATAGCCATGCATAGCAGCCATTGGCCACACTGGCAGATTCTTGTGCGGGGTTACCCCACTGGCAGATTCTTTCTAATACTGGTACGTTGATACCATTGATACCCGTTTTGTTTCCCAAGTAACATAAGACCTAAGATGTCGCTGCTTTGAAAGGTTGTGCCCGCGGGTGATTTATTCAACAATACAATACAGGATGTAAAATAAACAAAATAGTTGTGTAATGTTTTCTCAAAAGTTAACACATGATTCAATAAGTTCAAGCTCACAAACTTACACGTCAAATCACATTGATGTTGATGGGTTGCCATGATCATTTGGCTTGCAAAGAAGTCGTTTCGGACATAGACCTGCACCTGCGCTGGTGTGCAGGTCTTTGGTTTTTGCCTAGTCGTGTGCCATTGGCGCTCACGACAGCAGCAGAAGTCCATCATTTTAGGTCAAGAGACTTACAGATTGAATATGAGCTAGACCCAGGAACTGTCCAGAATCCCGGCCATGGTGAGATTGGTCAAACACTGGACTGGCCATGAAGAAGGGTCGTTCTTTACCTTTTTGATGCGATGGACTCCCTCAAAGGGGGGGGTGAAACTTCGCTGCAGGTCTTGTGGCCTGTCCCTTTTAGTCCCACTCAAACGAGTGGACTTATGCACCCAGCGTCGTGGTCGGTTATGACGTCGGACGAAAGGCTTTCAGATGTTTTGAATGTTTTCAAGCTGGGTTTTGGCACCTGGAGCATGGAAATGCTTTCTCGCCTTCCCTCGCCCCAACAGCCTGCTGCGCCCAACATGCAGATGGCTGTGGGGATTTTCCCAAGGCGACAGAGCGTGGGAACTGTTCCGTGTGCAGCACGTGCACAAGACATGCTGCCGTAGCCGTGTGACATCGTTCCGTGCTGGGCGAGAACGCCGAAGTTCCGACGCTCCGACTCGAGAAATCGCCCGAGCGGAGGAACGAGGGACCCTGAGGAGGAACAGAACCGATCATTCATTCCCCAAATCAATGAGCTTCTGTATTCAGAGAACCTCTTCGGATCTTGGTCAGCACGGATGTGAGGTAGCAGGGTACCCGCCCTAAAAAGATGGCAGGACGTAGATCCGCTGTTGTGCCACGGTGATGTTGAGGAGTTGAGCAGCTGTCCTCCTCCGACACCAGACGCCCTGTGCCATAAGTAGCTCTGCAGCCGCTCTGGTGTAGTTGTGCATTCTTGGTGCAGGCGAATCAACCAAACTCTCCAGATTCTATATCCACCAAACTCTTCCCTAGCTGCTTGCTCAACTGACTCCCTTCGCCACATCAACTTTTTCACGGCCATGCCAAGGGTGTGGCCACACCATCTGAATGAGACGTACTGCATAGATTCAGTACGTCACGTCGGGAGAAGCTACAAATGCTTTGCAACCCGCCAAGTGGTCAGAAACCTTGGAGCAGCACCGCAGCGCACTTTGAATGCGTTTGCAGCTCAGGGTTTTGCCATTGCTGCTGAACTGACACAGCTCTTGCACTTCGGTTGCAGCAGCTTGAAGCTAGGGATCCTCATCGGTTCAACGAGGCCCTACAGGTTTGTGGATTAATGTCGAAGCAAAAGAAGTAATATGAGGAGACTCTGAGGAGACTAGCTCAAGAAACTGCGCGACATCTTTTGTGCCAAACTCCTTTGGTAGGCATCCTTCCCTCGGAGTTGGTGGCCAGCACTGACACTGGCTCACGGCTAATGCTAGAAAAGCCTGTGAGGTCGTCCATGATCTCATGGCATTCCAACCATGCATACCCTTTCGGCTGCTTGTCTTCGGCCCCGGAGAAGTTTCTTGCTCGGGCAGAGTCGCTGAGTCAGGAAAAAAAGGATGAGCTGAGCCGAAGTTCAGTGAAGATCATCTCAATGGACTAGCGCCAAGTGTGACTGTGTACATTTGTCGGACCTTGAGCCTTTCTTTGAGTGAGTAGTTTTCCCACTCTTGGTCCTTTGGTGCTGACTGCTAGAGAAGTTTATTGTTTTGGCAGTGGGTAAGGCATGCCGGTTGCGTGGTTGCTTACGTTGCTGCCAATGGCCAAAGCAGCTGGCTTGCAGAGCAGTTCAACAACGCATATCAGTGGGCATATCATAGCATTTTTTTTTAACGTTTATATAACTTTATAGTATTTTATAGATAGGTGGTGATGGTGGTGCAGGGGAGCAGTTGAACTAACCCACGTGCTATCCACGAAACCGTGACTGGCACAATGCAGTTTGTGACATTCACCGTGTCAAACTGTGCCACTGAACCCGTTTCCTTTTTTCCTCTATATATTTACTCCAAGGAAGAAAGCAAAAAGGTAGCACAAGTTGGAATGTTGAACCCACATGCTTTAAATGGTTTGCCTAGATGAACTAGCCCCCCTGAAAATACACGAACGGTCTGCGGTCAGTTCGGCTTAATGAAAACTGCAGTTCTGTATGCAGACAGAGGCAGAACTGTAGCATGCTTGGCTGTGGCTGACTCAAAACTTAAGGACATGCGCGTGTCGACGAAGCATGCACCCAGCACGCATTGGTGAAGATTGAAAAGTAGTTGTGTTTCATCCTGGCTTTGGTGACCAGGTTTGGCATCCAGATAGTTTCCTCCTAGATGAAGAGACCCAGAGAAATGAGTGACCCCTGTCTTGTGTGACTACCCCCTTTTGATTCAAAGAGTGTTTCGTTTTGTCAGCAACTTCAGCTGATCAGCTGATCCATCAACTTCTGCTCCATGGAAGAGGAGCCCAGTGCGGTGCCCAGGGGGGCGCGTCGATCGCCGAGATCAGCCGAGTCCAACGAAATCGTCGATCGTTGATGGGGTGCGATTCTTCGTCGTTAAGTCAAACAGATCCATACAGAAGCATCCATGCCAGCATGGGTAAGTTTATCTTGCAGTCTTGGAGTGTTAGAGTGCGATTGTGCGATTCAGTGTAGCCGCTGAAGGCTCCCAGTACTTGAAGTGATGGGGGCCATCGCTGTGTGATGGGGGCCATCGCTCTGGCAAAGAACTCTCCTCAGAGCCTCAGAGTCCCTCACTTTTCTGAAGCCCCCTCCAAAGCCTTTCTAGGTGCTTTATGAACCACCACTTGGAATCGGTTCACCCAGAGTTCTGTGTTGGGTCTTTAGTGGGGTCGCCTCCAACCGACCCGACAATGCCGCCCATGGCCCGACGGTCGCGGGTTGCAACGGATGCGGCCGACGGTCGCTGCTTTATGGGCCGCGACACTGGCCCACTTGATTTCTGCGCTGCAAGATATCCATGCAGAGTTGCACCTTGGATAAAGCGTGCAGCAGCACAACAAGGGGCAAAGTTGTTTGAGCACAAATACATTTATATCTAAGATAACATATGTTTAAATTAGGGTCATAGGCATAGACAAGTTGATCTGAAGACTTTGATGCACTCATCCGATATTGCTCCGGAATACATTTCTCAGGGTTCTGATATTTGTGTGGAGGATATTTGTTTCTTCCCAAGGCTTGCGCTTGAAGCAAATGCCGAGCTGCCAGTCTTCGTGTCCTTTACAACAGGCAGCTTGGAGTCTTCGTTTCTCTTGGCTTGACGTCTGGTGTGGGTCTCCAGAGTGGGTTTGTCGAGCTTGGAAGGTCCAGTCTTTCTTCTTTGACCAATTTCGTCTTGAAGTGTCCAACTTGTAGCGATGCCCTTTGCTCCATTCGTAGCGTTATAAAAAACGTTCATTGGAGAGAGTATGTGTTTAGATTTTTAAAAAAGGTGCCAAAATGGTAAATAAAAGGTAAATCAAAAAGTAGCATCCTTGCTCCTAGTAGTACGGCCAGGAGCCCCTAGTAGCTTCTTG